GCAGGTCTTCGAGCGAGCAATTTCGTGAAATTTGTGATTGTAAGGAAAAGTTTAAGCAAATAAGAAAACTTTTTGACTCGTACTTGGAAATGGTGCGGAACTTTTGATAAATAAATAACCTGTAGATAAGCTAAGGCATGTGTGGCGAGGGTCAGGAAGATGTACTGTAGATAAACTAGGACTCAGACAACTAGAGTCACCCCATCCAGCCGCCTTAAAGAACGGTAATCACTGAGGAGACACGAAAGTCACTGAAATATTACTATGAGAGGAGAGAGCCACGTCAGAATGCTATTATTAAGAAATATTGTTCCACCAAACGTACCCAGAAGAGACCGCCACCAAGGAATTGGAAATCGCTGATTTAAATTGGTTTGGTCAGTGTTTACGTGAGGAGAGTTTGTAATACATAATAATCGGTAGGAGTCAGGCCCAGGGTGTTACAGAAAGGAAACACAAGTGAATGATGAACAGCGAAGAGCTCAAGATCTAAAGAACAAGACACAAATGACAATGATGGTGACAATAAAAGAAAATAGAAGGATTTGGGGTTAAGTACACAGTAGAAGGAGATAAAGAAAGATGAGAAATACATAAAATATTTCAGCTTTATATATTTATTGGACCTTTTCTCTCAGTTCAGGGGATTTTCACGGGTAATGGCACAGAGTTGATCTTCTCAAAAGGCATTTGTCTGTATGTCTGAGAGCCCGAACCAGCTGAGCGCACAGCTGATGCTAGAGCAATACAGTCGTGTTGAAATTGATGGCATCTATCATGGCATCTGATAACACATGTACACACGCATACGAACGTCAGACACACGCACACAAAAGTAAGAATTAAATTACTTACACATATACAGTAAACACATATCAAGAATTATATGCATAAGCAACATACATATACGGACATATACTTACGAATTTACAAATAAACTGACACACATAAAAACACACACACACGCACACACACACACACACACACACACACACACACACACACACACACACAAAATTCCTCGACCTTTTTCCAAACAATTCTAATGTTTTTGTCTCCTTCGCTAATCTGGCAGCAATTGCTTGTGCTCTTTATGGCGGCCTTCCCGGCGTGTTCCCTTTTCCCAGGGTTGCAGAAACTTGTTGCAAATGGCGTAGGGATATTTATTTCGCTTTACGATATTGCAAGTCGTTTCTACTGTATTAAAAACTATAAATCTTATCAGTTTACATTTTAGCGATTTTCACCGTTGGTTTTTATTATCTGATTCTCTTTCTTGTCTATCTATCTATCTGCCTCACTCTTGCCTATCTATCTATCTATCTATCTATCTGCTTCACTCTATCTATCTATCTATCTATCTATCTGCTTCACTCTATCTATCTATCTATCTATTACTTGGCGAGACTCAGATAAGCCAATTATACTGATGAATTCTGTTTGTCAGTCTGCTAATCTGTTTATCTGCCTCTCTGTCTTTCTGTATTTGTTTCTCTGTCTCGCTGTTTGTGTCTGTCTTACTGTTTGTTTGTCTGTCTGTTAAATAAGGAAGTGTCCACAACCTGATATTTTCAAAACTTTCACAGCCGGTTTAGGTTATGTTATGTTATGTTAGGTTTAGGTTAGGTTAGGTTAGGTTAGGTTAGGTTAGGTTAGGTATGTATTTAAGTTCAGATATTTTTTACTATACTCAATGTACTGAGTAAAGAATTACACGTAAGAAACAATAACAAAAAATGCTCAAAAAATATGTTTAACTTTCAGAAAACGGGAGAAGAAACGGATATAGAGAGAATAAACAGTACATAGGAAAAGTAAGATGAAAACAACTGAAGCCAAACAAAATAGTGTCCAAGTGGAGATATTAACAAGAACACAGCGATCAGTGAATAAGAAGCCATCAACTAGTGTATAGGAGACAGTCGTCATCTTCCTGACTGTTACTCACGCTGGTAGATTAACACCTTTAAGACTACACCTCAGTAACATAGTTAGGATCTCACACCAAATTGCAAGGTGTACTTGATGATGAAATCGACAGCTTCACCCAAGAGGTAACTCGACAGCTTCACCCAAGATATAAATCGACAGCTTCACCCAAGAGGTAACTCGACAGCTTCACCCAAGAGGTAACTCGACAGCTTCACCCTCCACGATGAGTCGACAGCTTCACCCTCCATATAAATCGACAGTTCCACACTGGTTTAACACGTTGTTGTGCATGTTCCTGATGTAGGCGCTGCAGGTGGTACACTCCAGCGAGGTCACCACATGTTACAATACTGTTTTTTAATATCTGCTTTTAGAAAAATATTTAATTCTTAAGAAGGTTTGTGAAAGATATTTTTAAGCTTTTTGGAGGCAACAGTTTGTGTCTGACCTACAGACGGCTGTCATGACTGAACGACCTTTACTGTTTTGAAGGTCGAGGTTAACGCTAAATATCTAATTGGTTAATGTGAGTTGGAAGATCACTTTTACAAATGCTGTTGGTATCTCTAATGGTCACTCACTGTATAATCAGTTTAAGGGTTCATTTTCGGGCCAAATTCTAGTTGTGAGTTTATTTCCGTTTATATTTTTATTTGGCGACATCATAAACTTTTCAACTATATTGGTGAGTTCGGTCAGTCAATATCTGTTTATATGCTTTCCTGTTTATGTGCCAGCTAGCGACCACATTTTATATCTGATCTTCATCAAAATTTTACAGTGGGTCGTCCTTGGCAAGAGATCGACACTGAACAATTTCAATCAAGATTTATGTCATGTCAAGGTCAGAGCCTCAGGTCATCAGGGAGGGTCACGGCACACAAGGACGTATGCATAATTATCTACTGATTATGACAAAATTTCCACAGATGAGAGAGGTGACGGAGACGACCACGATGTTATTTCCCCGGAGGATGACTGCAAGTAATATTTGATGCCGGGTTGCTAACTTCTCTGTTCACGCCCCAGATTCAACAATTTTGGTCTCATACTTACCAAAAATTTCACAGCATAGAAAAGGCACTGGAAAATATTGCTTAACATGGGACAAAGGTCGAGGTCAAAGGTCATCGATGAGGATGACTTATGACTACACCAGAAAGCTTTAGTGTAGGTGCGGTGCTCAAGGGTACCACAGGACTAATACTCCACATTATTTAACAGGTTGGCGGGGCGACACAACCTTAGCTGCTGAAACACCTTCCAAAATTCAATGATACACACATACTGTAACTGGTTGGCGACACCGACCAATCTGAGTAATAAGCAAGTGTTGCTCTGCGGGACACATTTCACATGTCTGTCTGTCTGTTTGTTCGCATGTTATCGTTATATTTTCAATCGATCGTTACAAATATTACACATCATGTTGGCGAAGAGTGGAATAAAAGCTGATTTTTGCTGTAGTTATAACTGGACAAACGCGAAGGTCATAAATATGTTATTGATAAAGGTCACACAACACTTACTCATGACAACTTCACATCACTGGTCATCTAAGGTCGAGGTCAAACGTATTCGTGCGTGAATTACGATCTAAATCTTTACTAAAATTTCATAAATGATCGCCACTGAATTCTCTTAGTCAACATCGTTCACAGGTCTCTAAGAGTTACATTTCCAGCGTCAAAAACTTCAAATGATCATCTTTGTCTTAACGTAGATTATAAATTATTTTGGTTGACCTCGAACAAAGATCACCCCACGCCAGAACACACCACAATTATCAACCAATTATCTTGATAACTTTACATATAGAAGGGATTACCTTTCTCTAATGAACACTTTTTTCCAGTGACTAGATAATAAAGCTTTTCAGTACTCACATTTATCTAAGTACCTCTGTCGGTATCAAGATGTTCCGCCCCCTCCCCTTCCCTTCCTTTCCCTCCCCTCCCCTCCCCTCCCCTCCCCTCTACAGTTCTTCAAGTTTCTCATGATTTGTTTTCTCCCTGGCCCACTCATCTTCCTCCCCGCCCTCTACAGACACAACTACCACCTTACTTCAGTAACCACCAAAGGTCAAATCTATAAAGTCAACGGAATTCAAAGGTCTCTCACGTCAACAATTATGATCCAATATTTACTACATTCTCGGAGATGAACTTAAATTTATACTATGTAAAGGAATTTGACCTTTGAAATGACGAATTATGCAAATTACGAAAGCCTCCCACTGATTTCACCCTAAAAGACACTTTATCTAGGGATCGAGGAAGTCAGCCGAGATGTGGACGAAACCAAGTGAACAAAGAGATTAAAAGATACGTCAGACACCGGAAATGTTATAGACTTTGACTTAAAGTACATAAATTATGCAAATTAGGGAACCTGTAGACATCAAACGAACACATAGATTCACAATGTATGGTTCCCAGGTTATTCATCTTCATCTAATAAGTCTCAAACACACAAGGACGGTTAACAGTGGTAAGGAATGATGCAGGGCGGGGTATGGGTGATGACAATACCCCTCAGGCATCTGTTGACGTGATTCTTTACTCCCTCAATAAGTTGCATTTAGAATCAACAGTATCTGAGAAATAGCAGCTCGTGAGGACACTCGTACAGACGTATGGACGGATGTCTTTGTAGTACGTTACACTCGTACAGACGTATGGACGGATGTCTTTGTAGTACGTTACACTCGTCAGGAAATACATGATGATAAACGGTAATGTGGCCGGACCGTCGCAGAGGCTTACGGGCGGACGTAATCACAAGGGCATATAGCAGTGCGTACGAAATGGGTACAGGCGGAGGTAACTGTAAAGACGAAGGAACGGTCATACAGACGGTAAGACGGACAAGGCCAACACTTGTGACGGGACCATAAGAGCTGTTACTGGCACCTACCTGCCAGAGGATACACTATACAAGCACTTAAACCATTTTCCTCTTCTCTTACAAAGGTAATTAAGGAAGTCATTGTGTGACCATCCTCAAACACTCAGACCATATTTACTAGATAACATAAACACACAACCAGGTAAGTCACTAGTAGTTACTCACCTTTTACTGTGGGGCGAGGAAGCCGTCACCACACACACCTTCCCGTAGCCTGTGCGTCGAGGATCACCTGAAACAACACTCATATTAATCATCATAATATAATATAGCTTTAGTCCCATCAATAATAAGTATATTTATCTATAATGTTAAAGGACCAACAAGAGAGAACATAACCCCGCACGAGGGACTATTTAATTGGTGAATCGCATTTTATGTTTGTATATATGTATGTGTTTCTAAGTCTGAATATATGAAGAACCCTGACTATAGAATTTTTTATTTATTTATTTTTTTTTTTTACTTGTTTCTGGTGCCTTCAATATTCCTCCGAATTTGACGGGAATATTGAAGTTAATCTCCCTAGGCCGGGCACACACACTACTCGTTTTTGGTCAAGATGGGACAAAGGTCAAGGTCAAAGGTCATCGAAAAATTCCAATAAATTTAGCAGGTCTCGTGAATTGTTGCGGTGAGAGGAACCATCTTTCTCCAGCAACCATCCTACTGGTGACGCACAGACTGAAACACATACATACATACATACATACATACATAGACATATAGATAGATAGAGTAGAGAAAGAGAGAGATAAAATGAAATAAATTAGGACTAAAAATTAATTATTTGCCACTCCAGTACTGTCTACCAAAATGTTCTCTTAGTTAGTCAGTACAAAAGTGAGTCAGTAATACAGTCAATCAGTGATTCAATAATACAATCAGTCAGTCAGTAATACAGTCAATGAGTTAGTAACATAGTGACACAGTAACACAGTCATTCAGTCAGTCAGTCAAAAAAGTCAGTCAGTGAGTCAGTAACACAATAAAAAAAACTAAAACTGAAAATAAAAAAATCAGTGTGTGTGTGGGGGGTGATAAAGAGAGCACCCTAACTGATTACAATGCACCGTAGAGACTATCAGAACACCTAAATTAGCTTGAGAAGTTAGCTGGAGTTCCCATCAGAGAGAGAGAGACGTCCAATCAAAGTAAGAAGGAAGGCAGGAAATAGAAAGGAAGGAAAGAACGGGAGGAGGAAGGAAGGAAGGAAGGAAGGAAGGAAGGAAGGAAGGAAGGAAGGAAGGAAGGAAGGAAGGAAGGAAGGAAGGAAGGAAGGGCCGAGTCTGATAGAAAGTATAGCTTTAACTTGGATCTTGTCAAGGAGAGCTGAAAAAGATTGGAATGCACCTCCCCAAATTCGCGGAGGACGAACATGACTTTTGTTAAGGGTGAGCAGCTGGGACCAGGAAAGATAGGGTCGTGTAGGTAGAAGAAATGTAAGCTTTTAAAGAAGCCCTTCACAGATACAGAGACAACTGTTATAGAGACAAAAGAAATGACTGTATAAAGTATGAGAATATTTAGAATCACGTCACATATATATTATAATGACTGAATAACGAGAAACTAACATATAGAGATCCCCAATTATTGATGGATACAGTATGTGACCTTTAACCTTTTTCTATAAACTAAACTGAACAAATTTCACTTTTAAAAAATCTGACCCAACATCAGCTCAAACAACTCTCATTTGGAATGGTTGACCTTCCATTCATAATATACTAAAACAAATAAAAGTCACAAAACAATGACAAAATAAAAAAATTTTATGTTGTTCCTTAAACTTTTTCGAGATGGACAGTATAGCAACAGCTTCCAGCAGCTCAGGAGAATATTGGTGCATAAAAGCATAAAAGCTTTCATGGGATTTGTTCTAGTTGTAGCCTGTACGGTACACATTTTTTTTCAGGCTTGGTCGAGAAGTACAGATAAATGTTACGTACACAGAATTGAAAAATTTACGTTGGACTTAATGAGGAGGCTGGTGGAATTACTCTGAGTATCACGGTGGAAGACTTGAAGCTGTGGGTGAACAAAAGACCATCACATGCCTCCTTCAGTAGTGTATTAAAAGTGTGATGGTTAAAAAGGACGTGACACAGGGCTCAAAAAAAAGTTGTGACGATATCAGGTTATCTAAGAACTAGTGACATTTGATGCTGTTTGACTTAATATGAAGAAATTATGTTTTTGTGTCTCTTTTAATCTCGTGGTGTTGATAATGCGTTTGAACTATGTTGTTGTTTTGACGTTTATCCAACATATGTGATCATCTGAAGATTAGACAACCCTTTCACTTAATCATTAAACACTCTAATACTACCTGGGGATGGGGTTAGATTAGACATAACCTACATTCACCCCCCCCCCCCCAGATATAAGTGGATCAAACATTATCAAGTAACAAATACGTCCTCCCTCTAATCATCACTATAATTCTTACTGACTGAATTAAAGGCTCATATCTGAAGCAGTCAGTGGGGGACCTTCGAAGCCTCAAGGTCAATCAAGGTCAAAATCTTATTTATACAGACTTTTAATCTTCATCTCAAGCCATTCATTATTGCTCTCATTATAAATTACACGTTTATAAATTTCGCATTCATTATTATTTTCACTATGTATCAAAACTCAAATTATTGCTCTCACGTATTCATCATTGTGAACATCAGTGCTGAACCGAACACAACAGAGAGGGTTCAGTTGAGTGGAGGAAATCTGAGTACTTCCTCCTGGTAATTTAATCACTTTATAAAGTCCACACTTTAATGAAAATTAACTGGTAATTCGCCACTTACTGCATTAGTACACTTATATATTTTTCTCTCTCTAAACCACACACACACACACACACACACACACACACACACACACACACACACACACACACACACACACACACACACACACGCACACACACACACACACACACACACACACACACACACACACACACACACACACACACACACACACACACACACACACACACACACACACACACACACGGGCACGACTAAAACAATTTTTTAACGTACACAGCTCTCCGTTGTGCAAGCAAATCTTACTACAGGCCAACTACAGCTAACAGGGTCTTGCATCACCTTTTACCTAGAAATTGCCTTAACCATGGATCCAATCTCATAGAACGTCCCCATGAACAAGCGAATGATTCCCTTTCTCCTCCGGCGCTCTCAGGCAGAGTTTCACCAGCGGGTAATACTACTGCGCCTCCCTCAGTCAGTCAGGCGGAGTGCAAGGTGCGCACTGCCTCAAAATTCAATAAGAAAGTCTATATTTTCCTGCAATGGTTATTCTTAAGTTCTCGTTCCGTTCTCATTCATCTTGTGTACCACTTCATCATTCCTGGTACATGTTGACTTGAGACTTATCCCAGACCGAAGACTGACGGGGTCGTATCAATACCTTCCACAGAAATCCTTTGAGTGTAATAGGACGCTCATCCCTAAGCCCCACAACTGCTATACCAGACGGAATAACTTCATAAATCATTCAACGACAACACGACAACTTTTATTAAATATGTCCAGAATGGCAATATATCACGAGAGAAAGAACGATAAGAAAATATCTCAGCGGGCAAGAAGTGTTCAGCAGCAGACAGGGAGCTGATAGACTGAGACAGCGTTCTCACATTATGTTTCACCGACCCTTGTCAGTCTTCATTTGGGGGCAGCTTCCGATTTTGCGCAAGTAGAACCGTGAGGAATATAAAGCAGAGGTTGGGCTGAGGATTGCCAACCAGAAAAAAAAAAACAAATCTCCCCACAGATTATTCGTGAGACTCTTGATGGAAATTTCATCCATTGGGAAAGAAATAGTTCTGATGTGAGATTTACACCGTGGTGGCCGCCCGTGTAAACATAGTGTAAATATAGATGTTGAGTCACTGTGTTATGTATCCCAATTTGTGCCTGACGATGGAGGTGTTTTTTTCTCTCTTCCCTTCGTATATATTGTTGTTTTTGTTTCATTCTTTTGTGTGTGTGTGTGTTTTTTTTCTTGTCCTTGTCAATATGTCGTGTATCATGTCTCTCAAACATTTTTTGATATAACAAGGATTCAGATATGTCTCTCTCTCTCTCTCTCTCTCTCTCTCTCTCTCTCTCTCTCTCTCTCTGTGTCATCCGAATCATCAAATAAAAATCACTTTAAAAAGCTACTGACTTGACCCCTTGAGTACTTTGAACTGATCCCTGGAACACGATGACTTAATTAACAAAAATAATTCGAAGCTCAAAAATAACTCTTTTACCCATTTTCACCTATTAAAGTGGACTAATCACCTATTTTTTCTGGTAATTAACCGTAATTTATAATAACATTCAATATCATCAACGGAATATTCACACACACACACACACAAACACACACACACACACACATTTGGCTCATCGACTCGGAAGTATTATTACATTATTTTCATAAGTAATGCTAATAATTCCCTACCTTATTTTCTTCTCCACTCCCTTTAACACGTTCTCTGCTTCTCCCCCTTCGTCTCTTCTCACCTTCTCCACCAACATGTTCCAACCATCCCTCCTCTTCTTCTCCTCTCCTCCTCCCATTTCCACCTTTTCTTCCCCTGTTTATACTACATCCCCGTCAACATGTTCCAACCATCCCTCCTGCACTCCTCACCTCTCCTCTCCCCTTTACACTACCACAGTTGTCCCCTCACACACCACGACAACAAACCACTAAGCCACCTTTAAAATTACAAGCTCTAGCATTTCACTGACCTGGTCCCTATTACAGTATTTTCTTGTATTTGTTCAGCTAGATGAGTTGCTTGCTACTGGACTGTCTCATTTTAGTGATCTCAATAGTTAAAACTCAATGGTGTAGTGGTCAAGTATCTGGTTTCCTGATTTGTTATATGTTCAAGGGTTCGAGTTGTCTTGCTGGGATGTGATTAATGCAAGGTTTATCTTAGCTTGGATAACTCATCAGATATTACACGGAAATATTTTAAGTGGAGGGCCGTGGTCGCCAACCCTCAGACCTTGAGAGTGTCACCTTGATGGATTGATTGGCAGTATATACAGTACAAGAAAAAGAAATTACTACCCTTTCAAACCTTTCCACGCTATAATGCACATTGGCCAAAACCAAAAGTGCGCGCGCACACACACACACACAGACACACACACACACACACACACACACACACACACACACACACAGAAAGAGAAAGAGAAA